CTTGAAACAAGCTTTTAATATGCAAACACAATTCATATATAGCATATTCATTTGTAAATCCAGCAAAACGATGTATAGTAGAAGAGACTTGCGCAAGACACTAAGTTCTAAGCTGAAATATATCGGTATTTGTACGACTATATAGAAGAATCCAATAATGTCCTTGGCATGAATCAGTCTAGATAAATTCTGATATGATTTCGTAGGTAATTTCAAAGAGACCTCCAGTATGGTTTTAAGAAAACGCATTCGTAATCTATTCAAAATGAACGTGGTGACTACTATGAAACCACCTACAATATGGGTAGAATTAAAATCAATTAACTCGGGTGTCCCGACGTTTTCAGTTACATAATTTTTAGAAATATTGAAGTCATAAAGATTTATTAATTCGAGAATGCAAAAAACGCAGATAATAATTGTCGACAGAATATAGCGTGGTTTGCAAGTCTTGATAGTCGTAGCGTTGATCTTGTATGGAAATATTCCCAGAATACGACAAAACCAGAAGCAAGGATACATCAACGACACAAAATCCGTAGCGCGGAATAGCTGCCATATTTTTCCTTTTCTTTTTTCTTTGAATCCTTGGAACATCGATGATGAATTGAACATGTCCACCGAATCGTTATGGGAGAACGATAATCTAACCCATAGACTAATATATAAGAAATATTAATTATGTTATCAGTGCACTATTCATCAACGTGTTTAGAAAAATTTTTTTTAATAACTTTCTGCTGTGTTCTCACGGCTAATAAATGAACTGAAATAAATTTCTCGCAGTCCATCTGCACCTGACGAGTTTAAAACTACTAACAGTTATTGCGTTATATTACAAAACAGAACTTAGGAATTCTTATGTTATAATGTACCTGACTACGATCTTTTGCTTATCACCTCCTAAACAGGCATAAGTTAATGATGTATAATTACTATGTTACGTAATTCATAATCTTGCGCATCTAGAACTTGTACAAAACGAACGAACATTATCAAGATATTTCACAATTTTCCATTATATTTATATGTAGGTGAATAGAAAGTTATGGCAGATACATCTCGTGCTGATATAAATTCAAGAACAAAAAGGCAAATTTTATTTTGTATAAATGTTGCTGATGGACTCAGGGTAATGTTTTCCCAATTTGCTATTATTTTTAGAATTGCACCTACTTTTTCTACTCTTTTCTGATATTTTGTGAATATACATGCTATACAATGTTTTAATTAATTAAATTAAAAGCTTCTTATACTCCTATTTCTTTTTCATTATATTTTATTGAAATTAGATGTGTAATTGTGCTTAAAGCAGATTAAATTATTAATTTAAGAACTGTCGATATTAGTATAATAAAAATTAGAATGGAAAAAAAACACAAAAAATAAATTTCAACATTGTGTCATCAAATATTCTATATATGCAATAAAAATATGAACTTTTGAAGCAAAAAGTCGAAGAGGAGGAAATTGCCATATCTTAGAAAATTACTCATCCACGTGCAGTCGATATTATCTGTTTCATGTTTGCATATTTAATTTGATGGGTAGCAACAATTGCACATCATTATTCTACACGTTGACTCTCGAGAGTACAATTGTCCATCGAAAAGCACCATCATTACTTGCATAACAAAATATTCCTTTAGACTTGTCTCGCTCGAAGGTAGCAATTGTTCGTAATTTTTAACTTAAATTCTTTAACAATGACTGTAAATAATACTAACAATGTATTTCGCGTAATCATTTATGCCTATTTCTTCTCTATTCAGTTATATATTAAAATATTACGATAAATCGCAATCTATCTATAAACCGTATGTATCCGCATTGAATAAACATTATTTTCGAGACTGCTGTCGCACAGAAATCACTTTTTAATTAGATGAAACAAACCGATGCGGATATAATATTTCTATTATTGTGAAAGTATAATGTTGACTCATCGTAAAGTAGAAGTACTATATACATTTCTATTAACTTGTTTTATTATTGCTTAATTAAATCAAACATCTTCAACATATGAGATATTAACTGTTTTCTACATATATAAACTACCAAACGTACTATATATATAAACTACCAAATATATATATATATTGAATTTAAAACTGTTAGAGTGTCAAGTAGTAAGGACTCAATGGATCACTTGTTAGTCGTGAAGTAATCATGGCGCTCTTCAATCGACACTCGTCATCAATGGAACGTAAACATAAAGAAATAATCTGTAATTTCTTATGAATCCTCCAATATGAATCATTCGTACATACACGAAGCATATGACATACACACTGCATATAATCCACATGGATCGACAACTATCTCAAGGTTCCATTAATAAAATCTAATTATTTTTAAACTCTATATTTTTATTCAAACAGAATGTTCAATCGATTATCCAAATAGAATGCTCAATTATGACTTTATTACGTTGTACATAATTTGACTGTGCACTTAAATAAACAAAACGTATCCCTTTACAACTGGTTATTAACACATATGTGATATAAGATTTTCTCTATGTATATGTATTACATAAGTATATGCAAGTTTCTCTATAACTATAAAGCACCACGAAAGACTCTACTCACAACGATAACCTACTTATAAAGATAAAAAAAAAATATTAAAAATATCTTTTCTATGTTCGGCTATGTGTGTTCGATTAAATGCATCTTTTTATTAACTAGAGCGTATCCTTTAAAGTTTTTCCACTGCAAGAACTCGAAATGAACAAAAATTGTATCAAGATCAATACATAGGTGATAATGCCACTTGCCATCTAAAAGAATAACATCATAAAATAAAGCTAAATATACAATTATTTAATGAAAGCAAATGAGTGATTGCTCACCTTAGTGAGGAGCGTAGCGTCCACAGTAAGCCCCTTTGCGGAGAACGTATTTTCACAATGTGATAATTGCAAGGAAAATAGTCGCATCTGCAACGTCAGATCAAATAATTGTTAAATACAGGATTAAAAGATGTAATTATGGAAAATTATTATATTAAAAATTGCATTAGTATATGCAACGCATAATTAGAAAGATTTATATAAAATATGCCACTAAAATTATAATTTTTTATAAAAATGTACCTCATATTTTATTTGCTTATTGCTGGCACTATTGAACACGTCGTGAACGGTACTACTGATTTCCATGGATTGATTCTTGCCAGTTTCGCAGGCCCACACTATCAACACCAATTTTATAGACAAAAATGTTACACCTAGAACACAGGCTACAAGAATAGCCTGTTTTTGTTCATAGCTCATATCTAAAGCTAGGTGTATTTGCATTGAGCAAAAGTACAGATAGAAGGTAATTTCAGTGAAAGTCATAAGTATCGTGGAAAGAAGATGCAAACTGAAAACCATTTTTAGCGTATGTACTGTGTCGTTGATTGCCAGATGCTGCTTTTTCAAAGCTATAATCTCCATCAGTAAAAATGGAATTCTTTTCTCGTGACAGGTGCCACTCAAGAGATATGGCTCACCATTCGTCACGACTTTTCGCAGATTCACCAGATTGTCGTTGATTTGCTTGAAACAAGCTTTTAATATGCAAACACAATTCATATATAGCATATCCATCTGAAACGTCAACAAGTATATGTACGATACAAGAAACTGGCGCCAGACACTATCCTGCACTGTGATCATATACATCAGCAATAGCACGACTAGAAAGAAGAATCCTAGAATGTCCTTGACATGGATCAGCCTAGATAGTTTCTGATATGATTCCGAAGGTAATTTCAAAGAAAGCTCCAACAAGGTCTGAAGAAAACGCATTCGTGGTCCACTCAGAATGAATGCGATGACTGCCATAAAAACACCAATAATGGAGAAACAGTTATTATAAAGTATCCTGCTTGTCTCAAAGTCTTTAATTAAACTTTTTTTAGAAATATTGAGATCATAGAGTTTTATTAATTCGAGGACGCAAAAAACGCCGATAATGATAGTCGACAGAATATAGCGTGGTTTGCAAATTTTGATGGTCAAAGCGTTGATCTTGTATGGAAATATTCCCAGAATGCGGCAAAACATGATACAGGGATACATCAACGATTCAAAATCCGTAGCGTGGAATAGCTGCCATATTTTTCCTTTTCTTTTCGCTTTGAGTCTTTGGAACATCGATGACGTGTTGAACATGTTTACACTGAATTGTTATTGAAGAACGATAATATAAATCATAGACTACAATCTATATAAGAAATATTAATTATGTTGTCAGTGCACTTTTATATCAACGTGTTTCCAAGAATTTCTTTTCTAAGTGTAAAACATTCTGCTGTATTCTTACAACTAATAAATAAACTGAAATAAATTTCTCCCAGTCTATCTGCACCTGACGAGTTTAATTTTAAAGCTAACTAACAATTATTGTGTCATGTTGCAAAACAGAACTTAGGAATTTTTTATGTCATAATGTAACTACGACTCTTTGCTTATCATCTCCGAAGCACGCATAAAATGATGTATGTTATAATTGCTGTGTCACATAATTCATAATCTTGCGCATCTAGAACTTGTACAAAACGAACATTATCAAGATATTCACAATTTTCCATTATATTCATATATATTAAATAGAAAGTTATAGCGGATATATCTCATGCTGATATAAATTCAAGAATAAAAAACAAACTTTTTTACTTTACATAAATGTTGCTGTTAAACTCAGGGTAAAATTTTTTCCAAGTTGTTATGATTATTAGCAATGTATCTACTTTTTATTCCTTTCTGATATTTTGTGAAGATGCATGCTATATAATGTTTTAATTAATTAAATTAAGATTTTTTTATGTATTTCTTTGACATTATCTTTTATTGAAATTAGATATGTAATTATGCTTAAAGTAGATTAAATTATTAATTTAAGAACTGTCGATATTGGTGTAATGAAAATTAGAATGGAGGTAAAACACAAAATATTGATTTCAACATTGTCTCATAAAAATATCAAATATTCTATACATACAATAAGATATTTTTGAAGCAAAAACATCGAAGAGGAGGAAATTGCCATATCTTAGAGAATTATTCATCCACGTGCAGTCGATATTATCTGTTTCATGTTTGCATACTTAATTTGATGGGTCGCAGCATTTGGACATCATTAGTTTACACAATGGCTTTTGAGGATACAGTTGTCCATCGAAAAGCACTATCATTACTTGAAGCATAACAAAATATTCCTTCAACCTTGTCTTGCTATAAGGTATCTTCTATGTTCGGCCATGTGTGTTCGATTCAATGCATCTTTTTGTTAACTAGAGCGTATCCTTTAAAGTTTTTCCACCGCAAGAACTCGAAATGAACAGGAATTGTATCAAGATTAATACATAGGTGATAATGGCACCTGCAATCTAAAAGAGAACAACATCATAAAATAAAGTTAAATATACATTTATTTAATGAAAGCAAATGAGTAATTGCTCACCTCAGTAAGGAGCGTAGCGTCCACAGTAAGCCCCTTTGCGGAAAACGTATTCTCACAATGCGATATTTGCAAAGAAAATAGTCGCATCTGCAACGTCAGAACAAATAATTGTTAAATACAGGATTAAAAGATGTAATTATAAATTTGGAAAATTATTATATTAAAAATTGCATTAGTATATGCGACGCATAATTAGAAAGATTTATATAAAATATGCCACTAAAGTTATAATTTTTTATAAAAATTTACCTCATATTTTATTTGCTTATTACTGGCACTATTGAACACGTCGTGAACGGTGCTACTGATTTCCATGGCTTGATTCTTGCCGGTTTCGCAGGCCCACACTATCAACACCAATTTTATAGAGTAATATGTTACAAGGCCTATACAGGCTTTACGTAAAATCTGTCTTTCTTCATTGCTCAGATATAAACCCAGGTATATTTGCATTAAGTAAAAGTACAGATGGAAGATAATTTGAGTGAAAGTCATAAGTATTGTGGAAAGAAGGTGCAAACTGAAGACCATTTTTAGCATCTGTACTGCGTCGCTGATTGCCAGATGCTGCTTTTTCAAAGCTATAATCTCCATCAGTAGAAATGAAATTCTTTGCTCGTGATAGGTGCCGCTCAAGAGATATGGCTCACCATTCGTCACGACTTTTCGCAGATTCACCAGATTGTCGTTGATTTGCTTGAAACAAGCTTTTAATATGCAAACACAATTCATATATAGCATATCCATCTGAAAAATCAGCAACCAATTGTAAATTAGAAAAGAAGTTTGCCAGACATCAGCCATCTCTTGCAACTTGATAACAATTATCAGAAATTCCACGACTAGAAAAAAGAATCCTAGAATGTCCTTGACATGGATCAGACTAGATAATTTCTGATATGATTCCGAAGGTAATTTCAAAGAGAGCTCCAACAAGGTCTGAAGAAAACGCATTCGTGGTCCACTCAGAACGAATGCGGTGACTGCCATGAAAACACCAATAATGGAGAAACAGTTTTGTTGAAGTTTCGTGCTTGTCTCAATGTCTTCATGTAAACTCCTTTTAGAAGTTGAGAAATTTATATCATAGAGATGTATTAATCCGAGTATGCAAAAAACGCCGATACTGATAGTCGAAAGAATATAGCGTGGTTTGCAAGTCTTGATGGTCGAAGCGTTGATTTTGTATGGAAATATTCCCAGAATACGGCAAAATATGAAACACGGATACATGAAGGATTCAAAATCCGTAGCGCGGAATAGCTCCCATATTTTTCCTTTTCTTTTTCTTTTGAGTTCTTGGAACATCGATGACATGTTGAACATGTTCACTGAATTGTTATTGAAAAATGATAATCTATATCACAGACTATAATTTATATAAGAAATATTAATTATGTTATCAGTGCACTTTTATATCAACAAGTTTACAAGAATTTCTTTTTTAAAAGTATAACTTTCTGCTGTATTCCTACAACTAATAAATAAACTGAAATAAATTTCTTCCAGTCTATCTGCACCTGACGAATTTAATTTTAAAACTAACTAACAATTATTGTGTCATGTTGCAAAACAGAACTTAGGAATTTTTTATGTCATAATGTAACTACGACTTTTTGCTTATCATCTCCGAAGTACGCATAAAATGATGTATATAATTGCTGTGTCACATAATTCATAATCTTGCGCATCTAAAACTTGTACAAAACGAACGAACATTATCAAGATATTCACAATTTTCCATTATATTCATATACAGGTAAATAGAAAGTTATAGCTGATATATCTCGTGCTGATATAAATTCAAGAACAAAAAGGCAAATTTTTACTTTACATAAATGTTGCTGTTGGACTCAGGGTAAGATTTTCTCCGAGTTGCTATGATTATTAGCAATGTACCTTATTTTTATTCTTTTCTGATATTTTGTGAATATACATGCTATATAATGTTTTAATTAATTAAATGAAAACTTTTTATGTATTTCTTTTCCATTATCTTTTATTGAAATTAGATATGTAATTATGCTTAAGGCATTTTAAATTATTAATTTAAGAACTGTCGATATTGATGTAATGAAAATTAAAATTGAGGTAAAACACAAAATATTGATTTCAACATTGTCTCATAAAAATATCAAATATTCTATACATACAATAAGATATAAATTTTTGAAGCAAAAAGTCAAAAAGGAGAAAACTGCTATATTTTAGAGAATTATTCATCCACGTGCAGTCGATATTATCTGTTTCATGTTTGCATACTTAATTTGATGAGTCGCAACAGTTACACATCATTATTCTACACATTGGCTCTTGAGAGTACAGTTATCCATCGAAAAGCACCATCGTTACTTGACGCATAACAAAACATTCCATTAGCCTCGTTTCGCTCGAAGGTAGCAATTGTTCGTAGTTTTGAACTTAAATTCTTTAACAATGACTGTAAATAATACTAACAATTTCACGTAATTATTTATGTTTATTTCTTTTCTATTTAGTTATAAATCAGAATATTACGATAAATGGCAATCTAGTTATGAACTGTATGTATCCGCATTGAATAAAAACATTATTTTTGAGACTGTTATTGTAAATATATAACTTTTTAATTAGATGAAACAAACCGATGCAGATATAATATTTCTATTATTGTGAAAGTATAATGTTGACTCAGCATAAAGTAGAAATACTACATACATTTCTATTAACTTATTTTATTATTGCCTAATTAAATCAAACATCTCCAACATTAGAGATATTAACTGTTTTCTATCATATAAGCTAGCAAATGTTAAAATCGCAACTCTCCGTTAATTCAAGAAAATTATATATACATATATCTATATATAATATAATTTCTAATTTGCAGGATTGCATTTATTACTAAATTATCATATTAATATCGCCATCAATTTAACATCAATGCAATAAAAATGTAATATTTCTTTTATCTATTTGTTATATATTATATATTATTTGTTATATATACTGTTAATAATCGCAGAGCGACATTTTATCCGAAACACGATTTAACATATTAATTATATATTTTTTTACATATCAGAAATATATTTTACATTCAGCGCTAATTTATTAATTTAAGTTTTAATTTATAGAATTTATAACGCAAGAGCAATTAAGAAATTAAATTTTACATATATGTATCCCCTAGAAGAATACTATCACAATTTGATTCAATTGTGTGTAAGTTAAACCCATAGAAAGTATGCCTAAAATGTTACTTGTGTGCTAGAACAGTGTCACAAGTTTATATGCGAAATCCGACGCACAGGGCAGAAGTGTCATTATTCTTTTAAACCGGTTCTATGTTGCGGTCGCTGATTGTGTAGCTTCAAAAGTGAATTATCAACTGAATCATATCAGACCTCTTTAAAAAACAGTATCAAGTTTTATTATAACAAAATATCATACTTGTAATTACGATAATTATCTTACATTTTACAAAAATTGAATTAATTTTGTTTTTTCCCTCTCCTGAAAATTGCGAATATTTGAGTGACCGTATTCTTCCGGAGGTTCAATGCATGCAAATATCTCCATAAGCATAAAGCACCATCGGAGACTTTGCTCGCAACGATATTCTACTTACAGTGATAAAAATAGGTACATTTAAAGTATTTTTTCAAAATATCTCTCGGTTAATCTAGATCATATGTTTCAAAAAGATTTGCCATCGCAAGAACTCGACATAAATAGGAATTGTATCAAGATTAATATATACGTGGTAATGCCACCTACCATCTAAAAGAACAATATCATAAAATAAAGCTAAACATACCTGCAGCATTTATTTAATGAAGGCAAATGATTGATCACTCACCGCAGTAAGGAGTGTTGCGTCCACAGTAAGCCCCTTTGCGGAGAATACATTTTCGCAATGCGATAATTGTAAGGAAAATAGCTGCAACTACAATTTTAGATCAAAAAATTTTCAAATATAGGATTAAGAGATGTTATTATAAATCTGGTAAATTAATATATTGAAAATTGCATTAGTATGTGCGGGACATAATTTAAAGAATATATAAAATATGCCACTAAAGTTGTTAGTTCTTTAATTCACCTCATATTTTATTTGCTTATTGTTGGTGCTATTGAACACGTCGTGAACGGTGCTACTGATCTTCATGGCTTCGTTCTTGCCGGTCTCACAAGCCCATACTATCAACAACATTTTTACAGAATAATATGTTACAGCTGTAACAAAGGCCATATCATAAATATGTCTTTCCTGAGTGCTCATAGATGAACCCCCTTGTATTCGCACTACGTAAAAGTACAGGTTGAAGATGATTTGAGTGAAAGTCATAACTATCGTTGAAAGAAGGTGTAAACTGAAGACCATTTTTAACATCTGCACTGCGTCGTTGATTGCCAGGTGCTGCTTTTTCAAAGCTATGATCTCCATCAGTCGAAATGAATTCCTCTCCTCGTGATAGGTATCGCTCAAAAGATATGGCTCATCATTCGTCGCGAGTTTTCGTAGATTTATCAGATTATCGGCGATTTGTTTGAAGCAAGCTTTTAATACGCAAACACAATTCATATATAGCATATCCATTATAAATCCCAGTAAGAAGATGTATAGTAGAAGAACCTTGCGCGAGACATCAATCTGCATTTTGGAATAATATACCGGTACATGCACGACTACAAAAAGGAATCCAAGAATGTCCTTGGTATGGATCAGTATAGATAAATTCTGATATGATTTCGGAGGTAATTTCAAAGAGAGCTCCAGTAAGGTCTGAAGAAA